CCTCTTTCGAACATTTCCCAGAGAAAGAAACGAGACAAACACATCGGCAAACTTCAGATTTATTCGAAATCTAGGAATTTGCCCATCTCTGGCGTCAATGTTCTTCGATGCACGTCGAGTCACTTGTTCGGGTACGAGCGCGGTCGCTAAGCGCGTAACCTTCGCTACCGCGGCTGCTCCAACGGTATACGCGCGCTCTGATTGGTCAGTGTTTTCCGTTAATATCTCCTCAACAAAGCCTCGAACAACATTTTCGCTAAGGAAAAAGTTGTTTCAAATCACCTCCCGAACCACCCATTTCAAGGTGTTACAACATTTTTGGGACACCCTGTATATACTCGTGCTGTGTGAGGGGAAAGTCACTAGTTTCATCCATCTCCTCTCCTTTACTACTGCACTTTATTTTCGCGCGTCAAAATGCCCCGCGCTTGCGCAATAGTAATGCATAGAAGCATCGCCAATACCGAAATAAGATTTTGTAGAGCCCTGGGTTATAGAGGTCTAAATGATCTTTTTATTACATATTAATAACTTACAATAAATCTATCAGTAACTTACAATCATTGATAATACTTGTATGTATTAAATGTATTTCATTGCGTTTTAAAAGTTAATTTCGATACCTATAATTATAATATTTCTCTTTTTTGTATATCCTTGAATCAGCCCTGTACATGCATATTGCAATATGTAATATCCCTATTTAAAGAGAGTTAGTGACAAAAATATTTTCACGTATCGCGAGTGAAAGAAGTAAAAATAATGAGCCTTATAACAAAATATATCGAATCATTCTACGATATATTATTACAACATTCTATGATATTAATTGAAGCAATTCCGCGATTGTTTATACCCACTGTTGTCGCTGGATTCGTAGCAGTTGTTTCTTATACGTTTTACCGTATTCATGGTAGAAACATTTCAAAATTTCAAATTTCTTTCAATAATTATAATTTTACATTTATCGAACATTCATAGCCTTTTTATATTAATTTATCTTACACTATGTATAAATTTTATAACGTACTATCAATGCACAAGGAAATTTCACTGTATTCTGAATTAAACACTTTTTTTAATTGGATTACAGCTTGTTGGTATAAAAAATTCATGCATATATCAAAACAAAATTCAATGGAATTACAGGAAATTAGAAATTACAATCGCTCGTCTATTAGACATCGTAGCATAATCAGCCACAAAGAAATGTTAAATAACTTGGAATATGCGGCTGATGTAAATTAATTTTCTAGTTGTAACATAATATTTCACAATAAAAATAATACAAATTTATATAAAAAATATTATACTTAAACATGATTTGTAAAATTTCTGTATCCTTTTTACTATATTACATAATGACGCATCCATAAATTATTTATGTTTTTTCAGAATTGCTTTGAAAAATTATATGCATTAAAATGCATTGATATAGTAGTTTACTGTCCACATTTATTAAATGTAAAGTCTCCAGTCAATGATTTGACACCCTTCCATCGCATTTGTCTACAAGGTCATACATGTCTAATAACATTCATGTTAGCAAAGGGTACATATGCAATAAAATAATAATGTTTTACTTTTGTTATGATATAATAAAATGCAATAAAACAACATACATATTTTCTTCAAATAAACATAGGTGGTGATCCTTTCATTACCACAGCAATAGGAGAAAATGCTCTGTGTATGGCTGTTTATTATTGCCTTAATTATCCAATGCAAAATGATTTTTCATGTCTTGAAATACTTCATAACACAGGTTGGGTTATTTCGAATGTGCAGCTTTGTATTTATAGTTCTGACATAGTTTCTACTTTAAATACAAAAATGTTTATCTTCTTTACAGGATGCAAATTCGGTTTTGAAGACAAATGGTTTGATATTTTGTTAGAAATGGCATTTTCTAGCAACCATACAAAACTAATTCAGTGGATGATTTTGCATCATAAGGATCCATTAGATAATATTTCCAGAAGTACCTCTACACCATATTGACCTTACAAAATTATAAACATAATTCATAAATACATTAAGTATATACTTAAATTTTGTTACTATTACACATATTATATACTATATTCATTGTGGTACTTATGAATTATATAAAATTTAAGTTTTGATAACAAATTGTAACTAATGAAAATAAAAATATATATATAGTTACTTCTGTTTCAATTTGTACAACCAACACTAATTAGGTTTTAAAAAACGTTCAACCTAAGCAAAGTTTAAGTGGAAATACAAAAATTTCAGCAGTAGTTGAAATCAGTCAATAATATTTTTGAATAAACAATGATGCTGAATATTGATTGTGTAGTTGCACTGTTTCATTTAAATGATTAAACTATTATCGTTTACAATAACCTATAATAGTAAATTATTGAACATTGAACATATATACAAACACAATGAAAAATACTCGGCTGTGCCCAGCGCTGATAAGAAAAATTATCAATTTCTCGATATAAAAATATTACATAATGCGGCATGTAATCGATTTACGCAAAACACTGATACATGCGTAATCTGTAATGTATAACATCCGTCATTATTTGATGGAAGTATTATCAAAGAAAAAGGTTAAAGGTTAAAAGTTAATTGTCTTCTTGTACAACATACAATGGCAAACACAGGTTTGTTAGTTTTAACAAATCCAACGAAAGTGAAAAAATTATTACCAATTATTAAGGAGCACGTATTAAAAACTTTATATATTCAATACTTCCCGGAGAAGAACCTATTTATATCGGGAAATTACACAGTTGCAAGTCCACAATGTAAAGTAACACGTTATGTCCAAACCATTACCAATATTTACACTGAAACGTCAGCAATATCTGCGCGACTCGATATTCGAGTTTTACTTACAAGCATGAAAAATCCTAATTTATCTGTAATAAATACAAAAAAACCTATAGAGGTAGTGATCTTTGATCGAATTTGTAGTAAAAGAGAAGCTGATACATTTATGCAAGATTGTCTAGCTAATACTTCTATGGACTGTAGCTTTGTTACCTTTAACGATGATCAGAAACTAGAAAAAGAAAGCCTAATCCCTTGCATTGAGGATGAAAAACTTTATAAAAGTGTAGTACTTGGCGGTACATTTGATCGGTTGCACAATGGCCATAAAATATTTTTAAGCGAAGCTGTATTACGTTGTACACAGCAGCTTACAGTTGGTGTGACTAATACAAATATGTTACATGGTAAGAATTTCGTATTCAACAATACTATGAAAAATGTGGTTCATATCAGCCACATTATAAAAATTATATGGGATGAGTCGGATGAACTGTTACAAGCAGTTGTCTTGAGGACCATTGATGATACCAAGAAACCTTATATTTAATATTGTAAAGATTGATTGGCCCTTTTTATCTGTATTATCAATAATTTTTAAAAATATAGCTTGTATCAGTTTATACTATTTATCTTCTATAAATTTGAAGTTAAACATTATTAGTGTTTTAGCTAAATAAATTGATTGAACGTTGTAGGAAAATTGTTATGGGAATTGATAGAACCTTGTTCCAAAAGGATACTGAATATTACGGAATTTTTAGAAGACATAGATTCAACATTGGTATATAATGTTGTTGCAATAAATGATATGTATGGGCCAACTAAAAGTGATCCAACTTTTGAAATGATAGTAGTTAGTGAAGAAACAAAACGTGGTGGAGAAAAAGTAAATGAAATGCGTGTACAAAACAATTTAAATAAATTAGATATTTGTGTTGTTAAATTATTAGAAGATGAAGATCACAGAGATCATGAAGAAAGTAAACTCAGTTCCAGTAATAATAGAATACGATTACTGGGTACAAGACTACGACCTCCTGTACGTATTAAATGTAATGTTATAAAATTGTTTTTGACATTACTATGTTTTTAGAGGATAGATGATAAACCTTTAAAACCTTATATTATTGGATTGACTGGTGGTATAGCAAGTGGAAAGTCGTCTATAGCTGATAAATTAGAAAAATTAGGTGCAGGCCTTGTAAATTGTGATAAAATAGCACACAATTTATATCAGCCTGGCAAAAGTTGTTATGATGCAATACTTAAAACTTTTGGCCCTACTATTTTGAAATCGGATGGATTTATCAATAGAAAAGCACTTGGGGATATAGTATTCCATGATAAAGCAAGTTTATTATATAATTTGATATTCTTTGCATTTGTACTGCGTCATTTTTCCTTATTATATAATTGAAAATATAAATGTATTTCTAGGCACAATTAGATAAATTAAATAAACTCGTTTGGCCTATCATTTTGGATGAAGCAAAGAAACAGATGAATGATTTTTACGCAAAAGGATTTGATATAATTGTGATAGAAGCGGCTGTTTTAATTCAAGCTAAATGGCAGTACGTATGTCATGAAATTTGGACCTGTATTGTTCCACCGGAGGAGGTAAGTTTTCATTTTATTCATTACAAATACATATAAATTCATTACAATAAATAATTATACTATGCAGTTATCTCTTTAATTTCTAGGCAATAAAACGAGTAATAGATAGAAATGGATTAACTCCAGATGACGCAAAAGCACGAATCCAGGTTCAACCAAGTAATGTTGAACAAGTTAACGAAGCAAATGTGGTTATATGTAGCTTATGGAGTCATGATATTACTCAAAGGCAAGTGCAGAAAGCATGGAATGAATTAATGGCATTTTTATCTGAACAAGTAAAAAGTTAATATATATATATATATTATTTATATCAATCAAACTTATAATTTGAATACAAAATTTCTGAAAACTTTATGATTAATATTGATTTTTCTTAATAAATTGGATATCAAATGTAGATTATACTTCTACTAAGTTCAAAATATATTTTTCTTACTTAATACTTTTTGATAAGGCATGATAAGTCAAGGGTATAACTAATTTAATAAAGAATACGATTTTAATTACATTTTATAAATGACATTGTAGGGTACTAACCTAACCTAATTAAATGTGTAGGTATAACATACAGTACAAATTACTTTATTTTATAACATTTCTTATTAAATATTCTGTGATTATTAAAACATGTTACAATATGTATAAATAAAGATATAAACAGAACAATAATTATATAAATTTGTTATTATAATACATACTTTATACAAATAAAATAAACACATTGTATAAAGATACGCATTAATATTTGACGAATAATATGTTATCGCTTAAAATATCTTTTTCTTGTGGATCTGTGTAATTGTACATTTTCGTAACTACTGTACTTACGAAAGAAGAAAAATCAGATTTAAGTTTGTTTCCACCACTTTCTACATTGCACTTCACATGAGACACTTTCGCAAATGTTGATGCTATGTTTATAACAATGTAAAAAACTGTGATTGTAAAATATGAATATTAAAAAGCATTACGAATCTGTAATATTATATTTACTTGTACTTACAAATAATTTTGGATATTTCGGGATTTTTTTTCTCAGGATCATAACAAAATATTACACATCGTTCTGGGCCTAGTTTTGTTTGATTAATAAAATAATCGTATAGTTGTTGGAGTTCTTTCAAACATTCGTTTGATTTTTCACTGTACACAAATATAACACCATGCAAATTTTTCCTTATAGCTGGCCAACAATTTTCGAATCTAAAACATCTTCGTATTATATGTTTTATATAATTAAAAAACATATATTTATTCTTATATACTTATGATCTCCACTGCAATCCCACAATTCGATATCTTTTGTGACATGTTTATTATTTACGATTACGTTTTGTATTTCAAATTCCAATATTCGAACACCTTGCGTTGGATGGTAATCATACGGTATTTCTGTAGCATCAGCAAGAAAATTTGATATCGTCGTTTTACCGCTCTAAAAAATATATATCTTCATATAAAATTACTTAAATTTCATGAAAACTCTTACGTGTGTGCTAGTGATGTATTTTATTATTATTACATATTCTCATATATATATAATAAATAGAATAAAGAATAGAAAAGATTTATACACGATAAATTTATATATATATATATTGTTATATCATTTTTAAATTAAGAACATTACCCTCACAGGTCCTACAACTATTAGTTTTAATGGTTGCATGTTTCGACTGTACTTCTATTTAATAAAGATAGCTTAGGATTGTACCTAAGTGTTTGGAAAATTGTTTCCATAACAACAGGTCACCCACTTGTATGGACTTCGGAAAGTAGGTCATTTTTTAAAAGAAAATACTTATCTACAAATGTAAATTTTTATAAACATGCCATTAGTTACGAAAATCTATTTATGTTTAAAAATACAAAATGAAAATAAAATCAATACCATTGTGTGCAAATGGAAAAAACAGCTTGAGAAAAATTATTCTTTCTGAAAAAGGAGAAATGCTATATTGATTTACGATTGAATTGCATTATATTTGAAAATGATCGTGTCATTTGACTTAATGTGTTCAAGGTAGATTACTGGTAGTGATAATGAAATAATGTGTAATTAAAGTATAATGGTCAATACTAAGATGTCACTTTATTGTAGATACAAATGAAATACATATATAAAAACATACATTGTTTCAATAAAAGAAATACAATGATTATTTTGATAGGATATCTGTGTCATATTATTTAGGAAATTGTCTATTTATATCATAACATTGAACGAATTCATTTTGTTTGAAAGAATACTTTTATATGCCTTTTATAATATAACAGATATTTAAGTAGCATACATAATTGTGTACATACAGATGAATTTTATATGTTTATAAATATAAGTTGGGAAATTCTTATATAATTATTGCAAGATGTACAATTTTTAGAATCATTACCGCGATATGCAGTAATTCATATAATTATAAATTGAAGTAATAAAATTGAAACATATATTCATGTTATAGTATTACAATTTTCGTGATTACAAACGTTAATTATGTTTGTATATTGTTGTGGATATTTAAGCCATTGATTGATCTTCAATTGTTACTTTATCATCTGGGTAGCATAAATCATATAAGGCCAAAAGTGCACATTTTGCTGCTATCTTCTTGGCATCCTTTTTATTTCTTGCTGTAATATGTTAATGAAAAAAAAACAGCATGAAATAAACGCGTATCAATTTAGCGTATGTAAATATATTTTATATACAAAACATTACCTGTTCCAGTATATTCAACGCCATCAATTTCTACAGCAAGAGTGAACATTGTGTTAGGAGGATTACCAACACGATTTAGCTCTACATATGTTAAACCTGGTCTCATTTGATTCAATAACATAACAGGATGTATGTTTGTAGCATTTGGGGGAAGTTCTTTTTGGACTGGAACTTTTGGAGCCTGAGCAGAGATCTCTTTTTTAATTCCCTTAATAGGTGATGGTAATCCTGGCCTTGGGACAGGAACCGATGTTCCTTGATTGTGCCATTCAAGGAAGAGTTTATACAATGCGAAACTAGCCAAAGAACTCCATGGAATTTCATCACTTTCTTCAGGACTAGTATCCATTGGTGTTACACCTTCTTCGCTAGGTTCTTCTTTCAATGGAACAGGAGCTGTTTCTGTAGGTTGATTTGTTTGTCCATCTGTTTCGGCATCAATACGTGCTTTCAATGACGCTGCCGTCATTTTTTCAAGCAGTAAGGCTTTCAATGCATTTTCAGCAGCATTTTGTCGAGCAAGTGGCTTAGACAACCCTTGTCCAACATAAGTTTTACCATCAAGCTGTTTTTATTTACATCATATTAATAATTATTTAGTTACATTGTAGCTACATTCAGAAAAGACAACACTATTTTAAATACCTCTGCATGAACAAGATAAAGAGAGTTTGGCATTCCTTGTGTTTCAGGAAATGTAAATTGTACTCCAGCCTTCATTTCATTTAGTACCATGATTGCATTCTTTGGTTGTAAAGTCTTCCTTAAGCGTTGGTTCAAACGAAGTCGTTTCAATCTCTTATTTACCCTAACTAAACCCATATATTCTTTTACATGTATAACACAACAGGAGCATTTGTTAATTTTATCATTAAACAATATCAGTATACAAATGTTCACATTGGTGATTAAAAACGACACAGGTTCAACAGTAAATTACTGGAACGCACGGTATTATCTTAATCTTCAAATTTGCGCAGTGAATTGTCATCATTCTAACAATAGTTATTGATCAATGTATATACACGAATAAAAAATTAAACTGAATATTTCGAAAATATATTATCTTTCGTTAATATTTTAAGTATAAATGCTTTTTTCAATTCTGTTATGCTTGTTTTAGACAATACTTTACACATAAACAATGTGATATAGAAGAAGATAAATATTTTGCATATAGGTAAGAACAAAATAGTATTTGTAATACTTACATCCAGGTGCCTTACGCCTCCATCTTGGTTGCTGTTCTTGTATTTCCATTTCAATAATGTCAGATATTTCACTATCATTTTTTGCTTCAGTAGTATTATTAGTTACTGGTGGTGTAGGGATATTGTTAGTTGTTGGAGGAAGCGACGGAGTAGGAACTGTCGGTTGAGAAGGTGGAGTAGGTGTACTTTGCACAGCTGGTGCTGCTTGTTGCTGAGTGTGGGAAGTTTGTTTCAAAATTGGCTTTAATCGTTGAGGTTGAGGTGGAGCTTGAGACTGAAGCTGAGCTTGAGGTTGATTTTGAGGCTGAGATAGAGGTAAAGGTGGAGGTTGAGACTGAGGAGGAGGTTGAATTTGAGGTGAACTTGGTACAGATTGCTGTTGTTTCATTTGCTGCTGTGGTGGTGGTGGTTGCTGTTGCTGCTGTGGAGGTTTCCCTTGCTGCAAATTTCTTGGTGCCATTTGTTGCATTTGGGGTTGTTGCGGTGTTTGCGGCTTAAATGATTGTGAATTTGGTGCACCACCTGACTTATAATTGCTCTGCTGATTAGGAGGGGGTTGTGACCCTTGAAAGCCTCCTTGCTGGTTGTACTGCAAAAAATTAGGGTGGGTCGCCGCTACACAAGGAACCTCTACGGTAGTGCTATCCCACCAAGGTCTAGCATCGTATATGTACTCGGAAGCAGTCTAATGCTACCCCCATAACTCATACCTACCAAAATACTTCTCTGGCCAATATTTTTTTACTTATAACTGAACCGAGTTTACACATGATTGAAAGCAATAAATAATGTATATAAAAAGTAATAAGCACGAACAATTACAAATCAAAATTTGTTTCAAAACAAATACTAATTTTACATGATATTGTAGCCAAAAATAATTTATGCATATTTGTGGAAACAAAATTGTTATAGCTTAAATTATACAAATAGTAAAGGTTGATAGTTAATATGAACTATTTTGTATTTAAAAGATAAATAGAAGTTCATTTTATAAAATATAAAATAAAAGATAATGTTAAGTCTAATAGGATATTTTGCAACTAAAAGTATGTTGTAGTTTCTATAGATATATAAAATGCTCCTGTAATGAGAAATCAAATGAAACCACTTCAATCTGATAACTAGATGAAAAGACCTCTAAAAATGAATTTAAAAATTGTAATTTCGATTTCAATATAAAATCATGTTGCCATTTTGTTGAAAAATATTTAAACTACAAGCTTTAAGTCCATTATTAAAGGCTATAATAGATCAAGGATATAATATATCAGGCTGCAAGTAGTAATACTCCATTCCTCTCTGCATAAGCCTTCTATACATATTGTACAGGGAGTACAACATTCTCATAGATCCTGAATGTTCTATAGGATGTAACATCATCCTCTGTTTCATCTGTATTTTGTACGGAAAATATAGTTATTTAAAATTATAAACATTATCATAATTTGCTTTATTTAAACATCAGTTCAGTATTATCAAAAATATGGCTTGTGGCAGGCTATGCTATGTGGGTAACTGACGAACTAGTCCCTGGCTGAATAGACCTCCTCGGTATTGTTGTATAGCTACTAGTTCCTGCATTGCAGGGGAGGGGAAAGTAGGGACCACTAATTAGTACATGCAAATGGATGAAATATTGGAAACAACAAATGGAACAACTACACAGTTTGATCATGACGAATACAAATTATAGGAAATGATTTCCACCTTTTTTCATATTAATGCAGTTAATAAAAAATTCATAATACATGAATAAATTTTCTATACATAATTATCATTTGAATAATGAAATAATATAATTAAATTGCAGATCAAATAACTTATCTTCTTTCTAGAAGCCATTTGTTGAACCCTTCGTTTTAATGTTTACATGTAGAGTACTTGAAGAAAAGTGATACTTCTGAACCATTTAAGTTTTGCTTTAACATTTCCAAACTCTTTTGCCAAAACTTTACAATAATATTTAAACTTTTAAAGAAAATTATAATAAATAGTAAATAAAAATATAGTTTGTTGACAAAAAGGATAAATCAAAAATATCATAGCACAGTAACTTCAGAATCAAGTTCTCTATATGTATCTTGAAACAAAATTTCTAATAATAAAAAGGTTGAAAGTAAATAATTATATCAGCTTATTTTTATCTTAGAAATTACTTAATTATAGAGTGTTACATGCTCTCAAAAACACTCCACATATGTATTATTTTGTATACCAAAAGAAATGTATGATTGCTACTACCTTGTTCAAGTGTATACATATGCTTGTATGCATGAAACACTTCGTAATAGACTTCTGGTATACATACCAAACGATATTGTGGATAAGAATGAAACTAATATATTTTGGTATACGTACCAGAATATTACCAAAAAATGCTTCCACTATTCGCACTAGTATACTGAAATTTGTTCTATATATTTTTATATTTATTAAATGTATATTTTAAACTATAGAAGAAATAAATACATATGTACATATATTGTCTTAAAACTATTGCTATAAAGAGTTATTGCCATTTAGATTAATAGTTTCGTATATTTGAAGCATTTATACCTATTACCAAGAAATTTATATATTTTATTAAATTGATAAACACATGAAATTTAATTTGTGAATATATTTAATTCAAATAATTTTTAATTCATTCTTAATAGAAATAAAATTATGATGTTAAATCACTATTAGTTATGTACGGAAAAAATTGTTTAATAAAATACGATTATCTCATTGTCAATAACAGATATTAAGTAATATTTGATTTTTAGTCATAATTGTTACTATTACACTATTTTTGGTATGCAAATTTTTCTTTTAAATATGAATCAATCAAAACAATATTATATTTGAGCTAATGTGTTTTTTGGCTAACAAGAACAGACTATGAAGTGTAAGTCACTGATTTTGATGTGCTTTGATATGGGCTTTTTCCATTGAAAATAATTTTGTCTCTAACCCTACAATCATCCAGCTTGCTCTAAAATAATAATAAAGTAAAATCCTTAATATCTCGAAAGATATAGGTTTGTGAGCTGCAAATATATTAGTGGAAATTATTTGTTTTCTTAAGATGTACCCCTTCCCTTCAACCAAAATGGATTCAACACCATGACATTTGACCTTGACTTCTTCAAAAACAATTTGCTGAATTTATTTTCAATTAAAGTTTGTGCCGAAACATCAAAATCATTGACCAACACTTCATGGCTTTCCCTTTAAGATCATATGTTCAACTAATATAACCAGTTATACAAAATTAGCATCATTTTGTTTAAGATTTTTCTAAATATCATAGAAAGTATATCGCAATGAAATTATTGTTAAAACCAAGAAACTTACGGCGTTTTGTCCTTGATATCCTACATTTTGGTTATTTTGGTTTCTTGCTGTAAATTGAATGAAAAATATTATTAATATTGGTGTAAGGTAATGAACATTCAAAATTATATTATATATACTCAAATTTTTAACGTTCTGTACCGAATACGAAAAGTATTTAGAAATTTGAGCTGAAATTGTGTATGTACATACACATATTTTCTTAAAAAAGAATTATTTTAAAACACAATTTCTGTAATATTTTTATGTAACTATTTCCTTTCCTAAAAATCATTAATAGAATATGAAATTAATGCGTCAAGATCATGTCCGTTCGAAGACGCCATTCATTAAAAGCCGGTATATAGAATATTGATTATGTCTATTAAAGCTATTTATATATCCGTAACCTATTAAGAGCAACACGCATCTTTATTATGTGAAAATATTACAAAACTAACCATAAAACGGTACAGCTTACTCATTAGAAAATATAGCGTAACTTACCATTGGAATAGCCTTGGCTTTGTCTGCTTCTTGTATACATATTGGCTGTTAGAACTCTTCGTTCAATGACTTATATATAACTAATCGTAAAATATTACGTACAATAAAATTCTTTGTTATAATACACTCGGATCTCCAGCGCAGAATGCGGTTACTTCACGTGAAAGACGTATGCAATTAATCTATACAGTTTACTCACGAATGCTGGAAACGAATTACTCTCGTTACAGAGAAGAAGGAAATGACGTTGTTTACTGTTGTCGGAAGTGGAAGTTCTGCCATATTGGTTATCGAACGTATGCTTTAATGATCGCATCATTTCGTGAATTTAATCGAAGCAGATTCGAATAAATATGTAATTATTCTCATTATATTTTTATTAAAGAAATAGCGTAAGTACAAATAAAACAAAGCATTTATTTTGTGTGATTTGATCCTTTCTCTGTTGGTATTTCGAATGTGACGCACAGCTGTCAATGACGCTGAATGACACACTTCCGTGCGCTAAATGTGGCGCACAAACACAATTCCAATTCTCTTTTATGAAACTGTAACGTCGATTTTATAATACTTTGTGAACAAACACCGTGTAATAAATTAATATTCGTGTTAATTTGTAACATTAATATTAACGTAACCATAAAAATATACTATAAAAATACCTTACCTGGCATTCGTACTAATTGTAAGCTGTATTGTAAACAAATATTAGACAATTGTTATTCGAAAAGGAAGTGTTTCTAGACACTTATTTAAGTATAACTATAATTTTAATATTTACAGTAAACGTGACTTGTAACAATTATTAATGTTTTCATTGGTTTTATAAAAATATACCTTATATATAATTGCATATAAATAAAAAAGTATAATGAAATTATGGGATACCGAATTAAGGAATGTTTAGTAGTTATTTTGATCGCAATAATAAGAATTGTAACATATCTTACAGGTTTTAATAATTTTCTATCTTAATAAAGTTGTATTACAATATAATATAAACTTAGAGCAATCCTTCCATTTCTTGCATAAATTGCATATATGCGTCATCTTTAGTTTTAGGTTGAGGAGTTCGTAACGGTTGTGCTTCTGGTATTCTCTCTGTAAGTCTAGACAAAATACTTGGTTTCTTCTTATCGTCCCTTTTCACGCGAAGCGAAGTAGGTAAAAATCTTGTAACATCGGCAGCTAAATTTCTAATTTGAGGTTTTGCTTCGATAGTTGTAGTACTTTTGCCATCTTTGTCTTTTCTATTAATCAATTGTGGCGCAGCAGAAAGAACATTGGGTGTCTTAGGCTGTGACCCTGTTCCGGATTGCGTCTGCATTTGAGGATTTCCTATATTTGTCATATTTGATAGATTTGGCATTTGCATTTGTGGTGGAGGCATTCTAGGCATGCTTGGTGGTCCAGGCCTTAACATCCTTGGCATTCCTGGTGGTGGACCTAGATAATAATTTCAGTTTTCAAACATAGTGTTATTTAAAACTGATTTACTGAGTAGTAAAGAACAGCATAAATTACGAAATATATCAATATTGTACTGAAGAGGATCAAAATCATTATTCGAAACTTTTAATGAACTGTGCTTGTTAGCGTTATACTTATTTATATTGTTTGTAATATCCTTACCAGGAGGCAACCGAAGTCCAATGCGAGGTGGTGGTGGAGGAGGCATTCTCAAATGTAATGGTGGTGGTGGTGGTCTGTACATTAAAGGATGTGGAGGCAGCCCCATAGGAGGCATTGTATGAGGTTGTGTGTGAGAATGAGAATGCGATGATGCATGCTGATTGTGATTGGAAGAGTGGTCTGATGCTCCTGGGGGTTCGAGATCTTCTTCCTCTGCTTTATTATTATTAGATTTATTACTGGATTTTGAATTAGAATCATTTTCTGCCTCAAGCAACGATAATCGAGCGTTCAAATCTTGAGCTCGTTCAGTTTCACGTTTTTTATGGACGACTTCCATTTCACGCATAAATTGATCGATATCTTGTCCTGCCATCGCCAACATTTTTTGCTGCAAAGTAGTTGGCTTTACTTTCGACATGTCCCTTTCCTTTTCTTTATCCGTTTCTTTCTCTTTATTATCTGATTCTTGCTTGTCTTCTTTATCATCCGCAAATCGGATTGTCCTTGATTTTGGTGTTGGTTCTTTTACCTGCATATAAATTTTGTAGTTACAGTGAGTAATTGTGTAGATTAATTACACGATAAGGGATACAGCAAACAAGTATGATAGAATAACTACAAATACCAACCTTTTCCGATACATCTTCATCGTCACTCGATAAATCGGGGGGAGGAAAGGGTGGTACACCAGGTGGTTCTTTATTAGGTGCTAATGTAGGTATAGAGGGGGATGTTGCATATGCACTTGTTTTTTTCAAAATGCTTGGCGGTATTGGTATATTCATAAGAGGGTGATGTGGTATGTAATGTGGATGAGGGGGATACATGTGTGCTGGTGGTTGCGGCATATCTGGCAATGGTATTTGCGATGTCAAGGAACCTGAAAAAGTATTCATTATATGACAAATAAACTACTTCGATATTCTGTATATATATAAAATGTTTAAATATACCTGAATACATTCTGGATATGTCATTACCAGCAGAAGGTAAAGGAATTTCATCGACTTGTACTTGTTGTGCATGTCGCACAGCTTCAAAATAAGAAACTAAATCTATTCTTCTACGTTCATATTGTATCAATTGTTCTTTTAATTCAGACCATTTCTCTTGATCATCTTTTGCCTGTAAGCAAAAAATCATGAAAAGTGAGATACGTATAACATTGTATAAAATTATTACTTTTCAAAGTTAATTTAATCTTACCAATAACTTTTGAAGAAAATTGTAATTGTTATGTTTGAAATACTTACATACATTTTTAAAACACGATCTAGGGTCTCCTTTAGCTTTTTCCTTTTATCTTTCAACACTTTCTCATTGAGAGGCGGTGGTTGCATGACATTGTATTCTAAAAGGTAAACAAACCATAACTTAATATTACAGAATATTAATGATGTTAACAAGTTTGAAAAACAATAAATTCATGCTAACCCATTTGATCTATTTTTTCCATTTCTTCGATGATCTGAGCAGGATCTTTACCCTTTAAAACAGCTGCTCTGACTAACTGTCTTTGCTTTTTATTTTTCTTTAATTCCTTCTTACGTGCTTCCTTACCTATAATACATTTATTAATGATAGAACATTGTTTGGAAAGAAAAGAATTATTTGGTTATGTTTTTTACTAACGTGCTTGGTCCGTGGGATTCATATACTTCCCACTTTTCGTGGTATTTATCGAACGGCGACCCATGTTTGTTCAATTAAAAAGTAATTGCAACGTATTTTTATACTATTTCTTCACAAATTTTCTGTTACACTAATCATTATTTACATTCTCCGTGACTATAGATTCGCCATTAATTGCTTCACCGACGATCAGACGCTGACATTTTTACAGCAGGTTGGTGGTACAGCCGACTATACATGAAGCATGTACAGGGTGTCCCAAAAATGTTGTAACACCTTGAAAGGGCCGGTTGGGGAGGTGATTTGAAACAACTTTTTCCTTAGCGAAAATGTTGTAAAGGAAAACACTGACCAATCAGAGCGCGCGGATACCGTTGGAGCGGCCGCGGTAGTGAAGGCTACGAGCTAAGCGGCCGCGCTTGTACGCGAACAAGTGACTCAACGTGCATCGAAGGCCATTGACGCGGCCGCTTAGCTCGTAGCCTTCGTTACCGCGGCCGCTCCAACGATATCCGCGCGCTCTGATTGGTCAGTGTTTTTCATTAATATCTCCTCAACGAAGCCTTGGACAACATTTTTGTTAAGGAAAAAGTTGTTTCAAATCACCTCCCCAACCACCCTTTTCAATGTGTTACAATATTTTTGGGACACCCTGTATATTCAGGAAAGCCACCGCTCACTGAGCCGCTCTATGAGCGGGTTTTAGTACCAGTGACGCCATCTATGGGAAAACGCCCAAGTTCATAGTGAAAATAGTTCCCATCGTTTCTGTAAGATGGCGTCAACGATACCTTTAATCAGTAATTTTTTTTTTACATGAATGTATAATTAATACTATTATAACACTACAATATATTAATTAATATGTCAAATTTATCGTTTTTGTGAATAGTTATTTAATAGAGCCATAATTATTGACCTGTGGCCGATTCCTGGTAAATGGTTACTTTCTTATCGGCTCAACAGAAGAACTATTTTACGACAAACTTGAGTGTTTTGCCACGGATGGCGCCACCATTCAATTTTTTCTACCACGAGGTTTTGTACTAAACACGAATAAAACTGAATAGTACTGAAGTACATTTTGATGCATAAAATATAGACACGTGCTGAACACTGAATCATTGTTGACAAAATGAATAGATACTCTATACCTTAATTAGTCGGATTTTTTATTTCTTTATGCATAAATTAGAAAGAAATTTTTTTTTCTCGATGTTAATGTACGTAGGCATTTTTAAATTTATTTACAATGTCTGCAAGTAGCTCGAAGAATGTTATAACAATAGATGATGAATATCAAGGTTTGTTATTAAGTTTATTTCATAACAGATAAACATTTAAAACAGAAAGATAATTACATCCTTAACTAATTATTATTATTATATGAATGTAAATAATATGTACATATATATACTTACTGATTTATTTATTGAATTCTATCAGTTGTTACACATCTTTTTTTTTTTTTATATCAAAAATTCCATTATTCTGATGTACTTTTTTATTATTAAAATATTATTGTATCATATACATTATTACAATTAAATAATTGAATGCATTGGTCTTTTCAGTTACAGAAGAAGATGAAATTGCTGCCATTGACTATGAACTTAAACAGATTGAAAATGATATGCAAAAGCTTGAAGATCGTAAAAAGATTTTAACTCAACGCAAAGAAAAATTACGAGATGATGCACTTTTAAAAAAGAGTTTATCCGTATCACAAAAGAATTGGAATACAGAAGACTTCAGATGGTCTAAAGATCTTGTGAAAGCTTTAAAGAATGTTTTCAAAATTCAGAAATTAAGAGACTTACAATTGCCAACAATAAATGCAACTTTATCTAATGAAGATGTTATTTTAGTTATGCCTACGGGTGGTGGTAAAAGTTTGTGCTATCAGTTACCTGCCGTTATTAGCAAAGGCATTACTATAGTAGTATCTCCATTAATTGCATTGATGGAAGATCAATTACATGGGTTACGAAAGATTAACGTAAAAGCTATGATGGTTAGCGCGAAATGTGATAAAGAAAATGTAAAAATTGTAATGAATGCACTTGTAGATAAGAAATCCGATCTTAAACTAATTTATGTTACACCAGAATATATGGCGAAATCTAATCGTTTTATGAGTAAGTTACAGAAAGCCTTTGAACTTAAACGATTAGATCGTTTTGCGATAGACGAGGTTCACTGTTGTAGCCAATGGGGACATGATTTCAGACCAGACTACAAATTCCTAGGAATTCTGAAGTCCATGTTTCCCGGTGTACCAATTCTTGGCCTCACTGCAACTGCCCCAGCAAAGATCATCGTAGATGTCCAAAAAATGTTAGATATTCAAGGATGTTTAGTTTTAAGAGCTACTTTCAATAGGCCAAATCTGTTTTACGAGGTTCGTCGTAAGCCAACGGATAAAAACACGTGTTTAACAATGATAGAAAATTTATTGAAAAATAGATTTAAAGACAAGTCTGGTATAATTTATACGACCACTATAAAAGATGCAGAACAATTGACAACTGATTTAAGAACATTAGGTTTGAAAGTTGGATGTTATCATGCAATGCTCGAGGCAGAATACAGATCAGAAGTATATTCTAAGTGGATATCTGGAAAATACCAAACCGTAGTTGCCACTATTGCTTTTGGATTAGGTATAGATAAACCAGATGTGCGCTTTGTTATTCATCACTGTATTTCAAAATCAATGGAGAATTTTTACCAAGAGAGTGGTCGTGCAGGTAGAGATGGAAAGAAGTCAGTATGCATAGTCCTATACAGATTACTAGATGTATTCAAATTAAGCACAATGGTGTTTCAAGACAAAGTTGGTTTGCAAAACTTATACAAAGTATTAGTATACTGTTTAGATCAAACTTCATGTAGACGTAGCATAATCGCGACTCACTTTGAAGAAACTTGGAATAAGAGTGATTGCGCAGAAATGTGCGATCATTGCCGCAAGTCCCAAGAAAAAAAAGAAGTGAACATAACAGTATATTGTAGACAATTGTATCAAATCTTAACTAAAGCAGTACAAATCGAAACAAGATTGACTGCCTTGAAACTTTTAGATGCTTGGTACGGAAAGGGTGCGTCAACGTTACGAGTATCTTCCGTGCCAATACCAAAGTTTACAAGAGAATCGGGTGAGGCTATAGTAGGACATTTACTTGCAAATGGTTATTTGCAGGAAGATTTTCATTTTTCTGCATATTCCACGATTTCATATTTGAAACGTGGTCCCAAGGCAGCATTAGCGCTTGATAATAATCACGAAATCATTTTTAATTATGAATTACACTAATGTATATAAATACATTAAGTTGTCTGTGATATAATCACTAAGTTTATTAACGAAGTACACGAAATGAAAAACAAACAGGATATTGTATCGAAGTTTTCAATGTTCCTACATATTAATGATACAACCTACTCAGTTTTTTACGAATCTCTTTTTGATGAATTTAAATGTATTAATATAAATAGTATTTATTACGACAAATATGTATAATATATATGTATAAAATAATTGAAAATCGCTACTATGGACTAAGGATGCATAAATTAATCGACTCCTAGGAAAAAGAATGTTTTCAGAAGATAATAAACATTTTCTAATATAAACATATCGTTTACATTCTTAAATACTATTTTAACATCAACGTACATTCATGTATACAAACGGAGAAAATTCTTTTTTACGTTGTAGATTGTTTGTAAGTAGGCTGGTGGTTAAAGTGTTAAAATGAGTTTTATTTAGAAAGAAATGACACAAGTCTCCCGAGAGAATCACGGGAAAAGTAATTCAAACTTAATACGAAGGAAAAAAAATCAATAAAAAGAGCATATATACACGATGAGCAATGGTATGTCGGTGGCTCGGATAGTAAGCCAACCGCCAGGTTCACGATCAGATGAAAATATTGATCCTGGATAAGGGGCATCTGTGTTCCGCCTGTTGGCAAACACGTTTTACATAGTCACCGAGCAGTGTATTATAGTGATAACGGATCTGTAATTCATTCATTGTTAGACGTTCAACAAAAAACGTCACATAAAAACAGTAAATCGCGGGTGGTAGTAACGAACGTTTGGCATTTTCTGATGTATCCGTGTATCGTACATTGTTTTCTCATTCAAAGCTTGATCGTGCATACTACAAACAAGTGACGTGTCATCTAATTTTTCGATTCACGAATCCAATCAAATGGAAGTTAACATTGTAGAGTTTCCTCCAGAATGTTAAATATAACGAAATCACCACCATTCCTGAGAACCGTTCAGAATTCGACGAAAGTTCGACGATATGTTGCCTTCCTAACATAAGGGTGACATAGTACAGGTAGAGGACCAGGAACTTGACAATTGAGATGCATGTTTCTTTTTGTATATGTATTAGGTGTGTTAATTAATTCTGTGCCTTTCCGAAGTTAATTTACTATTTGTTTATTAAAAAAGAAACATAGAAGCTGATGGTGTAGTGTAATTAAATGGCGGGTAAAGATACCGCATAAGAGTTACGAATAAACAAAACATAGAAAAATATATGTAATAATTGTCAGGTACAATTGTAATCTGTAAACGACTTGAATGCAACGACACAGACTTCGTTTCTATACCTAATATTATCAGCTCTGTATATGTATCAAGGCCAATCGGTGCGATAACACATTTGCATGGTTAAACAGGGAAACGATAGCGGGAAACATTACAGTAGGAGAAATCAGTTCATCGTAGCATTTCGATGCAGGTTTATTCGCGCGCTTCTGCGCGACGAAGTTCGTCCTCTGCAGTTCCCATGTCCTGCAAGACCATCTATCTCGCAAGTATCGTCGAAGAAAAATAGCGGATCTGGTATATTATAAACTTTCATCCATGATACTCTCGTTACAAATCGAGATCGTTTATATTTATCATTAATTGGCAGTTAGCCGTACACGATCATACACGATGCCTTGCAATTGCCGCAACGATCGTCATTCGACTTCATAACCCCATGATTGAAAACCGTGCGAGAAATTTCAAAGTCCTACGAATGACAACGTGAAATTTCGGACAATGCCTTGGCAAAATTAACTAGATGATTTGGATGCATCAACCAGTCTCGGACCAAGATGCCTCTGCCAAATATTCTCAGGAAGGCAAGCAGTTACATTTTAGGCGATTGCAACCAGGACAATCGTCGCACCATATACCAGGATGGCGAGGCTCTATTCTGTAAGAACAACGTCTGCGTTCATCCGCCAACGTTGATGAGACAAAACTCCGACGTGGTCCATCACCCTGGATACATGGCCATAACCTGCAGATTTAACAAGAACTCGAACATACCAACGCTCCATCTCAGCTGGATACCAAACAGCACGCTTCGTAAACATCCGACGACGTTGGAGAACTTGAACGTGAGGAAACTCGATTGTGCAACTCATCGCGACGTCGATATCGGTTCCCATCATTCCCAGATATCGGAGGAGAGCTGTGATATTAAGTACGATTATGAACATACCGGCGATAAGGTCGACGTCTGTTTAGAGGTAAAGGAACCTGTGAATTGCGGAGATTGCGAGCGAGTTTGTTCCGGTGGATTCTCGCGGAGTTCGCGGCTCGAGACTGATAATGGGAAGACGAAAAACGATAACAGAGAGAACTCCGTGTTTACGTCGGAGACCAAAGAAACTTCGAATATCAATGTTATTCAACAAACGAACCATCACCAGATCGACAGTTCTCCGGCTACCATACACGAAGAAAGCGATCATAGTATTAGTTTGAATCGTTTGCGTTCGGAATCCTTAAGCTCGAAACATGAGGAAAGCCGACAGCCTAAAGATCAAAAGTCTATCGAAATACACGAAAACGATGGAAAAAGCACCGATGAGGAACTTAGATATCCGTATTGCGATGATATCAGTCTCAAGAGTCGTAGTATGTCGTTAACTTCTACATGCAGTCTGTCTGTTGGTGTAGCTTCTGATGGTATGTAAATTACTATTTTAATGATTCTATTCCGGTTTGTAGTTGTTATTAACTTGTAAAATTTGTTTGTACTTAGCTGAAGAGATTCCATCATGGATGAGATCCCCTGAACTTCTTGCTTTGCAACATAACCTTACATTTCCTGAAAGTGCTACCGCTTCACCGGTGACATTACGTAGAGCGCACAAATGTAGAAGGTTTTCCGTCGATCTCAGTGAAATGAGATCTTTGAGGTTATTCTTCGCCGACCCAGCTTGTACTTCTGGTCAATTAGTAGTCGCAAGTAGAGAAAGTCAATATAAGATTCTACATTTTCATCATGGTGGTTTAGACAGATTAGCAGCAACTCTGCACCAATGGCACCAACTGCTTTATCCACGATTAGATACAGATGTCGAAGAAACCCTCCCATATAGGTAACATTTAGCTGATACCGTAGCGATCTCAAGTATTCAAGAAGATATTTATAATGTCTGATATAATGTAGGCATTTCATGGTATGTCGACCAGAGGTAAGTCGCGATGAATTACATCCAGAGGAAGGACAAGTACCGATGATTACATCATTGGCTTGGAAGGACCTATTGAATGAAAGAGGTCAAGTAGAAGACGATCTTGCCCTTCGTAAAGGAATATTCTTTGGTGGTTTGGAACCTGCATTGAGAAAAATTGTGTGGCCCTTTCTTCTTCATTGTTATTCATATCAAAGTACTTACGATGACAGGGAACAGATAGACGTCATTCGTAGACAGGAATATGAAGAAATACAAAAACGTAGAATAAGCATGAACCCAGAGCAGGCAGAGCATTTTTGGCGAAATGTGGTCTGCATTGTTGAAAAAGATGTTGTCCGTACTGATAGAGGAAATCCTTATTATGCAGGAGAAGATAATCCAAATATTGAAGTAATGAAGTACGTTTGCATAATAATAATAATAATAATAATAACTTATAATTGCATTTTATATTATTAATAACATTAATATTCTTTTTTATAGAAATATTCTACTGAATTACGCAGTATACAATTCTCGATTGGGGTATACTCAAGGTATGTCCGATTTGTTGGCTCCATTGTTGGCTGAGCTTAATTCCGAAATTGAAGCCTTTTGGTGCTTTGCTGGTTTAATGCAAAGATCTGTAGCTGTATGCACGCCTACCGATGTAGACATGGATAGAAATCTGTGTTTTTTAAGGGAACTAGTTAGAATAATGGTACCAGACTTTTATGCACATCTTCAAAAACATACAGATGCCTTAGAACTTCTGTTTTGTCACAGATGGATACTTCTGTAAGTATTAAATTTTAGAACTTCTTTAGTAATTTGGCTGTGCATAAACTTGTTTTTATCGATGACTATATATCTTACAGGTGTTTAAAACGAGAATTCCCCACAGAGGTAGCATTAGTAATGTGGGAAGCTTGTTGGGTGAATTATTTAACAGATCATTTTCATCTATTTCTTTGCCTTGCTATAATGTGCGTTTATGCAGACGATGTAATAGCACAAGATCTTAGAACCGATGAAATGCTATTGCATTTCAGTTCCTTAGCTATGTATATGGATGGAAATCTCATATTGAGAAAGGCAAGGGGCCTACTTCATCATTTTCGTCAGCTTGTTCGTTTACCATGTACATTAGCAGGACTTTGTCGCCAATGCGGTCCAGGAATGTGGGATAGCACCCATGATCCTGTTATAGAATGCGTGGGTCATGACGATGCACCATGCCCGTATTTGAACAATTATTAATAACGACCTAATTTAACGAAAGTGGTAAAGACATCCTATTGTTGAAGCTTTTAAATTATTCTTACGTTAAATAATCAAATTAAATGCTACTCTTGCGTAAACTAAATAAGTTATATAAGTCACAGTTGACTAAATATTGTAAGTAATAACAGAAGTTGATGAAAGTAATATTTGACTCATATACTGTTTGTATGAAAACATTTTTTATTTATTATGGAAGAGAAAAAATTATACATTTAAATCATGGTGAATCTTATTTACATAATTTCTCAATAAGGAACAGAAAAACATATCCTAAAATCCAATGTTTTATCAAGTTCAGTGTCGTCTATAGTAATCATGAAAAATTTTAATAATAATATATCTACAACTCCTGACACAAAAGTATTATGTACTAAATAATTAGGCAGAATTTATGCGATTACGATAAGTTCTGACCAAAAACCTGTAGTACAATTAAAGACTGATGACCAAAGGAGTATGGAATAGTACAAGCTTCCTAGCTTTAAAATCTCCAGACAGAAAAGGAAGCTTTCTCATTGCACGACCATTAATGTTATTTATTTAGTACAATTTAAAATGTGCCATTTACAACCTGGTACAAATTGTATGAGTCTCAATCTGAAAATAAAATCTAGTCTGACGTCAGCAAAATAAATCAAACATACATTGATATAAGTATTGCATAAATATTTATTACAAAGCCGTTCAAAGTTCTTGGTCAATTAATCATATACGTGTTCACTTTGGGATATTTACCTGTGAGGTATTTTCAATACTTTTTTTTACAAGACAATTTTAAATTTATTGTTGTACACATTTCTTACACATCATGTATCATTTTCATTACTAAATATAGCTAATTTCTTATAAGTAGAAGTTTATAGCGAAACTATAATATAAGTTTATACATATTATAAGTATCTTGCTCACCATTTCTTTTTCACATTCTTGTAACCCAAAGTGTATTCATGCTAGTCTATTTGCTCAGAACAAATGAAGAATATAAAGTAAAAAGAAATACTTTTTGTATTTCAAATTATTTCACCTTTTTTTTTTTTTAAATAGATGTTATGTTATAATAAATGTATGAACAAATGGTTATTTATGTGGTATCTTACAACTGAGAAAAATGAACTCTATATATTTAATAATCTTCAGCAATGTTGTAAGACTTCGTACAAATAATTTAGTGCTTTTACTGTGCCACCTTGTGTTGTTAGACCAGTTAGACTATTACAGAGAAATCTATACATGTTAAAATTTGTTCTGCTAAGTCTAACTAAGTATGATATACAAATATAAATAAATAGAAATATGTATATACATACAAAAATAAATTGAAATAAGCTTATACAATTACGTATTTATTTTTAGTCGTTTATTTTTAGAAAATATATGTATACATATTTTACTTATTGTATACTACACTTGTACAGGTACACGGTATGAGAGGTATATTGTGAATCCTTTTTTTTTTTGGCAATTTTATACATAGCATGTATAAAAATACGTTCTGCGATATTTAAAGGAAATTTACTCAACTAATAATGTTTATTTAGTCTTCTTTGTTTTGCCCGTGCACTTATAAAAAAAAACACAATATGTGCTAGAAAACCGCAAAACTAAATTTTTTTTTGAGTGAGAAATAATGAATAGGCCATTACTATTTTTTAACGCGGAGTGCGTTCATTAACTAGAATTCTATAGTTTTAGGTGAACCTTCATACCGTTTAACAGTTGAGAGAATACTAGTAGTTGGCCACCAAGTATCACTTGCTTGAAAGACATTTTATATACAGTAAAACCTGCATTAACAACAATATATACGGAATAAAAATATACCAAAGATAAAGGTTATATCATACAAGAGTTAACTTAAATTAAGCTTATTCATTTGGCTTGTACACGATTAATCCTGACTTGTGCCAGTGTATTGTCAGTTTACAGTGACACATTGTGTCACCAGTATTATTATTATTATTATTTTCTCTTATGTGAAAAAAAGGATAATCTCTGATAATGGTGCTAATGGAAAAAAGTAATTAAAATAAAATTCAACGTTATCCTAATATCAGTAACAGTCATTCATTTCTACTAATATATTCCACAACTAAATTATTCTATACTTTAAAGAATAAATATAAGACAACTTTTCAAACAAATTTTTTACACATTAATAATTAAATACTGAAGTCATTGTTAATAATTTATCAATGATTTTAACATTTAAGTATAGTAACTTAAACATTAAAACCATTAATATCATATTCGTAATTATATGCGGCATTGCAAATAATCAAATTTTAGATTTAATGATATTACTTTAGATATTAAAATAAGTGATTTAGACTAGGTGCCATATTGTCACGTGACCACACGTACGTGCTGCGCGCACTACTGCGCGCCTCACAGATCCTGTTTATAAAAGCGATAATAAAGATCGTCCACGTGTATTAAGAATCGTTCGTTGTCCTTATTCTACCACTGCAAATCCAACATTAGATATGCACTAGATCTTTGAAATTCTAAGAATAGAATAATTAATTCTGCACCATTATGTAATCCTTTTTTTCTCCTATGTTTTTTTTATTATATATTCTATAGCTTCTCATTCCAAATTTACTTCTACAGATTTCAAATGTATTTGCACAAAATTGACAGACACTAAAATCATGCAAGCAACAGACCAAACTATGACAAAAATGAGCCAACAATTACTAGAAAACGGACTCGCAAATTTATTAACAACACCGAGACCTATGACTTTATTTGTCTTTTGCCTAGCATAATACACCAAAAATGTTGGAATCAAGTACTGAATTCCCGCTCCAGCATATGATCCTGTAATTCCCACTAATATAGCTAAATCTTTGGTGCTCATAGCAATAAAATATGGCGGCAGTACTGCCAATATTGGGAAGACAAGTTTGTAAAGACACGAATACGATGTGTCCTCGCTGAGGAACAGTGATTGTAAATTATTTCGGAGAGTAATAGCTATAATAGGGAAACTAGTACTCAAAGTAAATACTGGAAAGAGGGCCAAAAAGTATTCTATAAGAATAATGAAAATATTGTTACTTTTGGAACAATCTCCAGATCCTCGAGGGCTGAAATCTAACGTGTAAAGATCGTCTAAATGTTCGAAAGCAAATGCTCCAGTTAATGCCAGTAAAAGATAGAAAAATGCTATTAAGAAATAATCCAATGCCAAAAATCGAGTTAAAGTAGACTTATTTGCAATTGGGGCTACCAAAGCGGGTAAAGAATGATGACACATGAATGAATAAATACAGGCACCAAATAAACTTGGAATACCTGAAATATAAAACTGCAATTACTTTATTATTTATTGTATATATTTACAAAAATATATACAAGTTAGAGATGGTCAAAATTTTTATCTCGATATTACTTTAGATAATCTCGATATTATTACTATTATCTCGATAAAAATTTTTGACAACAAATAAATGATGCACAACTTTCTATCCGTTATTTTTTACTTAAAAATAAAAATTTGGGAATTGTATATTATATTAAAGTAGTTAAAATATCACCTAGTTTTGTCATTTTTCATATATTACTTGAATAAAATTTTGCCCATTTTTGTATACAGAGCGACTCTAAAAACTGAGATAAGCTTTAGTTCTTATTCTTATCCTTAATGGAGGTTTCATATATATAAATTTTATTATCAGTTTCTAGAATCACTCTGTATATTTATTAATTATATAAATGAACTTACCAATGATATTTGCTGCTGGAGGATTTCCTTGTGCGCCGTGAATGAATAGGTTTTTTACAGCATATGCGATCATGATAGTAAATGCAAGCCATCGCATCGCTGATGTTAAAAGTTGAAGATACTTAGTTTTTTGGATATTGAAGAACACAAAGGGTCCCAATAACAAAACGAATGTGGTCTGAAAGTAGTAGTGTCAACATTAATGGATAAAATTGTAACTATTGTTAGTATGCATATTACTATTTCGATTCTTAAACATACAAGGAACATCCTGTACGCTTCTTGTCTATCCAGAGCAAAGTATTCCCAACAAAGTTCAGTGTCTGGTATCGTATCATTGCATGTAAAATTCGCTGGTTGATAGGTACAAGCAACATCAGCTAAAGTCTTTGCAACAGCTGCTCCATAAATGCTCAAATCTCCATAAAGATATATAGTAAAACATAGATAAAATAGAGTTGTGCCAAACTTATTAAAAAAAATTCTTGCCATCTGTCCCATTTCTATTTTATCACGAATTACATAATATCTGTATGTCATGTCTGTACAATCAGGACTTGTTGAGAATGGTGTGACGAGCGGGGTATCTTCGGAATCGGAATTTGAAAGGCCAGGTTCGCCTAAACATTGGTGCATCTGCAATTGAAAAATATTAAAGAATATAACATATTAATAGAGGAAATTAAAAGAAGATAACGATGCAGAACGAGATATTGATAAAATTTAAAAACCTCAGATTCCGATTCGGTGAAACATAAATCTTGGGATAAAGATACCCGTTTTCGATGTTGAATGTGTCGCCAAGTTACTATAGCATTGGCAGATGCCATAACCTCGATGACAAATGTAACTGTGATAAAGCTGCGAGTACAAAATAACTCATAATTATAATTCTCTATTAAAAGTAACATATATATCATAAATAGTTCATTATTTAAATAAATATCAAAAGCTCAAAATTAGGACAGCAATTGCTGTAGGAATATTCTGTTAGGTCGTCCCATAAGTTCGTGCCAAAGACTGTGTCAAAATTTAATAAAAAACCACAGAAATTGTTTAGTAACGGTGTAGTGACTATGTGAGAGAGGTGAGAAACTATTGTGAAATGAGACAGATTATCTTTTCTTGTGACACTTAAGAGTATGTTTCACATATTAATTTGAGAAATAAAAGTATAAATGGCACGAACTTTTAGGAAGACCTAATATATTAGTAACATGACTACACCAACAGAATTTAATGATATACCTTATAAATGCTAGTATTAAGATAACACTTAATCCAAGAGCCCATCCTGCTCGACTGAAAACAGCAGGTAACGTTAAAGCTCCTGTGCCAACAATTAAGTTGAAAACGTATATCAATCCGACCTGAAATTACGTATTGGTATATGAAGCTCCGTTCGTGAGAATAAATACAGTAATAAAATACCAATAAATTACTTAATCGCCAGTTAAGAAAAACTTTGTTTACGGTCGAAGGTTATGTGATACCATATGT